GTATTAAAGCTCTGCCAAAATTAACCTTTGGTATCGATTTACAGCTGAAGCTTAGCAGTTGAAGTTGTTAACAGTTCAGTCCAGCCCAGATATTTTTAGTCACCATTTTGGCCAGAACAACCTCTTTTTACTGAGATAAATTGTTAAAGTCCTCACAAGTCTGAGGCAAGAAAAGAACTTACTTGAGAGATATTCCTCACCCAAATTCACAATCGTTTGTTTATAGAAATCAGTGACTTGAAGCGCAAGTTATCTACTCTAGAATAAATCTGCTAGGATCTTCATTGCTAGCAGTGGCACGCTCATACACCAAAGAAAGTTGACTTGTTGACCAGTCAATGATTTTCAAGGCAGTGGGGAACTTTGCCCTTCCATCTCAGGAGAAATCACAAAACGGGGTGAACACTAGAAAAAGCCCGTGTTGACTAAAAAGTCAACAAATCGACACAAAATCGGATCGGACTGGTTCAAACCGGTTTCAGTGTCGGTTTCACACCTTGCAAAACAGGATCGGACCGACCAAACGGGCTGCATATTTTTTTAAAATTATTTAAGTCCAATGCTAAATTTCTAATCCCATAACTCATACTTCCCCAAGCCCAACTTCAAATCATCTTTCTTTTCTATGCCCAATCATCTCTCTTTGCATGAAATTGGATTATTTGTGAATTTGTAAGCCCAAAAAACAACAATTTTGTTGGAATTTGTTAAAAAAATAGATTCTAGTCCGAAACTGGAAAAACCGAGAACCGCTTCGAAATCGGTTTAAACTAGACCAACTGGTTTCATAATTTTTTTTCACCAAAATTAGACCGAACCACACTAGTTAAATAGTACCGGTTCCAGTGTGATGTAAAAATCGGACCGGACCGTACCCACCCCAGACACACAAACATTACACTACCACAGTGTCGTGAATGTTCGAACCTAAGACCACTAGTTTGCAAGTCAAAACTATTTTCTACTGAACTAGACCAGTTAGTAAAATATATATATATATATATTGTAAAAATATGTAAGTACGTCCATAATATTAGTGTTATATGCAAATTTACTAAATAACGTATTGTCGATTGGCTTGAGCAAAATCTCTCTTTGTTTTTTCTTTTTCTTTTGCCAAGCGATATAAATATCATTGATATATGACAAAAGGCTCGATTAAAATAGTCACAAAGGCAATCAATCACTTGAACCCATATTCAAACCGAAACAAGGACCCAATACAAATTTCAATATGGTACAAAAGATAATCATAGCTACGGTACACCCCTCGTCAATGGGGTACAAAAAATAAGCACGAATACTCCCCCAATAATAACCCTAAGGAATCGAATCTATCAGCAAACCAATGTCACATGGCTTTACTCTAGCAACTTTTTCACGAAAAATTGAAAAACGCCCCAAGACACAGCTTGAGTCACATCTCATTTAGCCGTTGCAACTACACCATCACAATTGGTTTTGTTTTTTGTTTTTGTTTTTTAAAACCATCACAATTGCTGCCACATTGTAACCATGGAATATTGTATAAAAATTCACTTTTTATTTTTATTTAATATCTAAAATCACAATTATGGAAAGGAAAACTTTTGGTGTTTATTTGGGTAAAACTGTTGTTTGGTTGAAAATTATATTTTTTTTGTTTTTTTACCCTCATAATAGAATGGCAAAAAGTCATTTCTAGTCTTTGTCGTTTGCCGATTTTACCACTTGGGAACTTATAGTTTCAATTTTTACAATTTTTGCAATTTTATCCTTATAGTTTTCAATTTTGTCAATTTTATCCTTGTAGTTTTCAAGTCAAAGCAATTGAAGGACACATTTCAATTTCTATCATTATTCCTCTCAATTCTATGAAGTTATGATCATGTGTCACTCACATATAGGGGTATTTTGGTCAACTCGAGCCAAATTCCTCCAAAACTCCTTCCAATTTGCCCAAATTTCAACCTAGAGAAGTAAATTTGTTAGACACACTAAGGCCCAAAATCGCGCCAAAGTAAATGGGAAGAGCTCTAGGTTGTGTTTTATTCTTAGATGGCTCGAGTGAACCTCAACATGAGGGGCACACAAAGAAATTTGGAGGAATTTGATAAAAATTGAAATGTGTCTTGTATTGCTAAAAATTGAAACTACAAGGATACAATTAACAAAATTGAAACTTTTGTGACCAAAATTGTACAATCGACAAACTATAGGGACTGAAAGTAAACTTTTGCCAAATCTAACAATGCTTTGCTCGTTAGAAATCTCGGCCCGATCAAAAGCAACAACTTCTTCCATGAAAAAGTGAAACAGTCAAGAAATTATAATCGACGGCGTCGCCACCCCACCTTCGTCCCTCAACCACCGCCAACCACAACCCACACATACTCTCTCTCTACCAGCAGTCTCTCGCTCTCTCACTCACTCTCCCTCTCTCTCTCTCTCTCTCTCTCTCTCTCTCTCTCCAGGTGAGCTCTTACATCTTCCTCTTCACCTTTCTCTTTTCGATAGAATTTTCTGTTTACAGGCTGTGCTTTTGATTTGGGGGTCTTTGGAGGTTGGTTTTTGGTTACTAATTTTCGGTTTCAGGGTTTTTGGATGTTTTTTTTTGTTACTAATTAGATAGGACTGTGCTAAATTGAACCTGAAGCCCATGATTTGTTAGAAAGGGGACTAATTTAAACGGGATTGTATAACCCAATAGTAACAAAAACCCCTCACTCGTTCTCCTTATACAGAGAAATAAGCGCTTCGCTATATTGAACACGCGACTCCGCCTCTCTCTCTGGTTCGCGACTTCGCCCTCTCTCTCGTTTGCGACTCCACCTCTTCTTCGTTCAACATCGACTCCTCTTCTTCGAATCTTGACCCAGGCAAGTTTTTCTGGTCTTTCCCTTTGGATACCTCTCTTTTCCTTCTTCCACCTCTTTGATTTTTGCAATTGTCCTCAACAATTTTGACTGTGTGCTGTGAATCTCTCCTTCCTTATCTCTGTTTTTTGCTTCCTCTCTTCTCTAATTTTTGTAGAATCCATATCTACTGTAGCGACATATATATGGGTACTGGCTTATTGTTGGATGTGTGTTTGTATCCATCTTCTAATAATGAACTCTGTTTCGACTTCTACTTCAGTTCTTCTCCTTTTTTGGTTTTTGGTTTTTTTGGAATGGGAGGATGCTGAGGGAAGCTGAGCTTTTCAGTTATGGCTACTACTTCCGTGGGTATTTGCTGCTGGGTTTTGTAGTTTGATTTCGGCTGCTGCTTCTTTTTGTTTGTGTGCCGTGCATTTCGATACTAGTCCCACCACGTTTGCATTCTATTATTCCACATTTTAAATTTTTTGTATGTTTCTTGTTCTGTTTGGCTTTAATGTTTTTGGTGCTTGCTTCCATAATTTATAAGATGGTATAATTCTGCATAAGAGAATCCTTAGTTACAGGGCATGGCATAATATTAATAGGTTGAACGTGTAGTGTTTTGAAAATTTTCCTAAATCTACAATGATCGTACCAATGAACACATTCCTTTTCCTATATTTCTATACTTTTTTTTAACACATTCCTTTCTTTCTGTTTTTGTACTTTTTTGTTTTGGCTAAAATTTGTTTCTAGAACACCTGAATATTCTTCAGCATTTGCCCCAGTTGTAATTATGGTTTTGGTTGTTTCCTTTATAAACACACAGATGGAGGGCCGTTTTGCTGATGAGCTCTACTCAGAAAGTTTACAGCTATCAAAACTACAATTGGATCCTACATCCAATGCGAACAGTGAACAAAGTAATTTGCATGGTATTTAAATGGTTAAAAGCACTTTGTTTTTCCGTATAACAGTGATCAATAGATTATATTTGGTTTGCCTCGTTTTTTTCTTCTTGTTATTGCCAGCCTTAGGTAGGTAAATGCATAGTGTTAACTGGTGAACCCACTTAGTTTTTTTTTTAAATTTAAAAAAAAACCCACATTGTTTATTAGAGCCTAAACAACATTGTGTAATTTGAGCCTCTGCTATAGATTCCTTCATTCTTTGCTACAATAAGGATACTTGGTGAGCTACATAAATCTTTGTTTTCCTTAAAGCTTATCACTTCAAGACACTCTGGATAAGAGAGTATTCTTATATTTGCATCTATTACATTTACCCTGTAACACTGTAGTAAATGTACATCAAAGAACTCCTTTTAATCAAAACACATCTGTGCTCTGTGAAGTGGACACACTGTAGTAAATTTACATGCATATGCGCTCTGTGAAGTGGGTATTCTGTCTGATACTAGTTGACTGAGGAAGTTAATACTCACAACAAAGTTAACTGCTGTAGTCTTGCTGTTTTCTGTACTAAGAAATCTGTTGTTTAATGTTTTGCAGACCTTGATAGGGTTGAGTTGTGTCATGGAGATGGTTCTTGTGATGGTTTTTCTGATGAATTAGATGATACATCTGAGGTGACAGGGGAATGGATGAAGATAGAGGAGAAAACAAGATATAACCAACACCATACGGTTGTTTGACAGTTTGGATTTAATTTCATTATTACTTGTGTTTAGTTGTTTTACCTGCATAATTCAAGTGGTTCTCTTAAATATATTCTAACTACTTATAAATATGTAGGTGGGTTACCGTGAGGGTGTTATAGCAGGAAAAGAAGCTTCTTCGCAAGAGGGATTCAATATCGGCTTTAAGCAATCGGTCCTTGTTGGGTACAACTGGGGTCTTGTCAGAGGTGTTACAAGGTAGAAAAATAATGTAAAGAAAAGAATTTTGTTACAGTAATTTCTCTCTTGCAGAAGTATTATTTGGAATTTATGTATATCTTATTTAACTATGTTTTCATTACCCATGCTGGTGTATCTTCAACCTACATGAAGTGCTTTGGCTAACCTTCCAGATGGTTTAAGGGAGAAGTTGATTGGAACAGAAGACCAAATAACTGGATTGCAGGGATTGTGTGAATCTGTGCATTCTCTTTCAACAACAGACGCCCTTAGATTATTTAATGATGAAATCATGGACAAAAAAGCTAGAGAACAGAGTGAGAATGCTGACACCAGTTCCCTTGAAGCTGGTTTGCCAGAGCAAATACCAGACCGTAGTGGTCTAAGAAATCACTTTGCAGAACTACGTTCACTTCTACTTGAATCTCCTGCAATTAAAGTACATCTAGATAGGTAGGAAATTAGTGTTCTAATATTTATTTGATATTTGTAATTAAAAGTCTGAAAATTTTTGCTCCGCCACAAGCTGCCGGTCGTATTCTGTCATAGGAATTATACATTTGAGAAACATTGTCAATTTCTTGACCAAGAAAAGAAAAAAAGAAACGTTGTCAATTTGGTCTGTAATGTTATGTATGATCTTGTTGTGAATCTTATTATGAGGGACGATGATGTGAGGAATCCCATCATCATTTTTGCCCTATTTTTCTTGTTACAATGTGATAGTAAAACAGGCCATTTCGGTATAGAAGCAATGTACAATCTACTTTACAATAGTTGTAGTATGCATGAGCTGCTTTAAATATGTTTTCTCCGTCATTTTTGCTAACATGGGCATTGGAGATGAACATAGGAATCAGTTGACACTTCACATCAATACTAAACGACCATAGTAAATGTCCTTGGAGGTAAGTGCCCCCCGCAGTGGCGGGCAAGGTATAGATCAAATAACATCTGATTGTAGCAACTCAACACGATACGTATTAAAACTGTCATTACAAATATTGCTAACGAAGGTACATTAGTAGTACATCCACTGAGCTTAGGAGAAACAGCATGACTGTGTCCACAGTTTAACCCCCATTCGAATCATCACTGCATGAAGCTGCTTCCTTTCTCTCCAGAAAACCAGACTGGAGCCGAGAAAAGGTCAGTTGTTCTGCTGGTCCCGTAGTTTCTCTTGTCCGGCTGGCTGTATCAATACCTCCTAATTCAGTGACTTATTATGCATATATTGCAGTCTTTTCACCTGCATAACAATATGATAATTAATTCCCTTTCTTATTAGAAACCAACAATATGAAGTCATGAATAGCTATAAGAATCAAATATCAGAAGGTATTGGAGTTTGTGATTATATATTAACCTCAGTAACTGCCATCAGCTACAAGCTTGCATAGGCCTTGCCTGACTGAAGGCTGCTGAAGTATGCCTGCGACTTGTTTCACATTTGGGCACTGGCATGACTGCTTCGAAAGCTTCAACAAGCAATGCCACTTTCTTCTTCCTCGCTGGAGCAAGTTTTGTTACGGCCTGTTGGAGTGCAAAGTCAAGCATCCATTCCTCTGCATTTTTCTTTTCGTCCATCATCTGATGCCTGAGGTCAACCTTTTCTGCTTCAGGATCAGGAACCACAGGCAGATAATTTGGTTCTCTTGGATTGTACTTCCTTTGTTCCTCCTCATCCACGCTAAGTCTCTTGAATTTGCTTCCTCTTCTGTAGTTGCAGGTGTCGGGAAGTTCTTGCTTGGCATTGCTTTCTCCACGGGAAAATTTTCTCTTCAGCCCAGGGCTAATGCTATTATTGGCCATGAAAGTTTCTGTTGCATCTGGCTCTGAATTGTTTTCCACTTCCATATTATGAGATTCTCCTGTGCTGTGTTCTGAGAGACCTGATCTGTTGTTCAGCCTTAAATCACCCTGATCCTCAGATTCAATGGAAGTTGAAATTTTTGGCTTCTTGTACTTCCTGCCAGACAGGTTGCCAACTTCAGCACTATCATTAAGCTTGAAGGGTTCAGTCTTCTTGCAGTTTTCATGATCTTCAATCTTGAAAACATCTTCATCAGAAAGCTGGATTTGTTCTGATGATTTGGAGTCATCAGCTTGCTCTGTCTCTTCCATTTGATTCCCAGCGACCATTGCAGTGAGTTCCTGTGACAAGACAGCGTTACTGGTTGCAACATTTTGATCTGTTTCCGTGTTCTCTTTATCCAGGCTCCCGGTGCATCCTTCAATTGTTTCAGCCTTATCTGTTTCCCTCATATCCCTAGAGGCATTAGAAACTTGGTCTCCTGTCAATGTACTTGTTTCATCATCTTGAAATGTATTTTTGGGTTGGTTACCTGAACTTTCATCAGTCTCCACACTGGTGCAGTTGCTTTCAACATCTCCAAGGCAAGAATTGATGTCATGATCCTCTGCTTTAACTCCACTCTGCTCTTGAATTTCCACACCAGTTTTTGTTAGCTCCTCAATCGACTCCTCTGCTGAAGATGAAGATAACTCTATGCAGTCTGTCTCTGATAGGTCACTGTCTTCTTCGAATGCATCATCGCCGTAAGAAAGTCGGTCATAACTCAATCTGTCATACCCTTGTTCAGATTCTTGAATCTCAAAATTCTGTTTAGTGTCATCCCGTTCACTGCCGCCACCATCATTGAGTTGTTCCTCAAAAGACTGGTTTTTCTCTTCCAAAAGTCCTTGCAGTACTTCATGATAATCCTCTATCATATCGTTGCAGTTACCAGAAATTGCATCAGACTTGATCAGAGGTTCTTCATGCATATCAGCATCTCCAATTATTGATGAAAACCCAGCATTTGGACCAGACTCATTATCATCAAGCACTCCAGTGGACAATCGCCCTTCCTCCCACTCCATGTCAGTAGTTTCAGAACTGGCATAATGCACTTCGATGCTTGGAAGTTCTTCAAAGTCGCTCTCATTCGAACTACTTCCCATGGCAGTTTCTTCTTGATCCAACAAAGCTTTGTAGTATTCATCTATATCTTCTTTTTGGTCTTCTTCAGCAAAGCCTTCAAAGCTTTCTGCCTCAGAGTCACTCTCAGACTGCGGTGATCTATCCGACAGATTCTCCTCAACTAGGGTGTTCGCATTATTTTCTTCTGCTGCTTCACCACGTGCATCATTTGGTTCACCATTGGAATCATCTTGTTCTCCTACAAGATCAGCTCCAGCTTCCCTTCCAATTTCCTCAGTATCATCTTCCTTGCATGTAGCATAGATTTCAACAAAGAAATCCAACCCCACTTCATGTTTCATAGGATCAGCATTTTTGTCATTGTCATCAAACAACATCCTCTGCAAATCAATTTCTTTTACTCCATCATTAGATTGCTTCGTTCCACGTGGACTTAGAGCTAGCCACTTCATCATCTTCTGGGTCTTCAACGAACGTCTTTTTGCAGACAAGAAACACTTCAATGGAGGCACAGGTGAATGATGATGGCCATTGAGAGAACAGTAAGTATATGGGCAAACCTTCATGACTGAAGTCCCCTCAGCTTCAGTTCCCCCAGGATTAATCACCAGATAATCAGGAAACTTTGTATCCTTCAGTGTTGAAGAACAAGTTGCTCTCTGAACATTCATATCTGCACAAAGAGCAACCCTGGAAGATTTTTTGGCCGAACCTCTTGCTGGCTTAAAACTGGGTGACTTTATTAAAGTTCTCACCAGCTTCAAACTAGACGTCCTTGTTGAAGTTCTTTCTGGTTTATGATTAGAAGCAGAGCTAAGCTTTGAACTGCTCGAATTTCTTCGGTGCTCGTTCTTTCTATCCGAATATACAGTCGGAGAATTTCGAACACTAACCTGGGATTGCTCCTTCCTTGCATCAGAACAGCTGGTGGGCTTCATATAGTTTGGTGAGCCATAAGTTGTTTTGTTCATGGGCTGCTTCTGAGGAAAAGCTGCAGTGTTTGGAACATTGAGAGATGGTGGTGGTGGCTTTCCTGGCAGGGATATGTTCTTTCTCAAAGGTGATGATCTCAAGCTCTCAATATCTGAAAGCTTGATTGATCTAGATTTCTTCATTTTTTTCTTCAAATCAGCTCCCCTGTGTTTGCCATCCTGGAACTGAGAAGATGTTTTCAGGTTCGCCAACCGCTTCTCGAATTTAACATGATCAGCTTGGATTCCAAGCTTGCTTGGTACCTTTCTTTGGACCATATTCAATGGAAAACCACAAGCAAAGACAATAGGGAGGTGACAATCCAAGTTTGAGAATTCAAAGCTCACAAAGATAAGCAATTCCCTCTTTGTCCCATGTCTTGTTTTTGATGGAAAATTTCATTGGGAAGGAAAGGAAAGGAATTCTTGGAACCCAAAGAACCAGAGATTCCTTGGTGGTTCCTAGCTTTGGTTTTCTTTGGTCTCAAGTGGGTGACCTTTTTCTTGTTTATTTTTCAGCTTAGCAGATGACGAAATTTGAATAAGGCTGAGAGACAAGAGTCTGATGCGGACATGCACTAACAGGTGAGTTTTGGGCCCTATTATTCAGGCTTTATTTATTTTTCTTCATATTTTTTGAGCTCTTTTTTGAATTGAATTATGAAGCTTGTGACATGAGAAGTCTACATATGGCACTGGCTGATTCATTATTTCCTGATGGGTTTGTATTATTAGTAGTTGTGGTCTTATATGACGAAAATACCCTCCATTATTTTAATTTCTTTAGATGATAAGCAGCAACAACTTCATTGCATACTAGACATGCCCATTGTGTATGTTCAATCAAATTTTGCATAGGACTGGTACGTTGAATGATCAAACGAAGGAGGATTTGGTTGAGTTCATTGGTTGGTTCCAATACTTATGGTCTCCGCCCTTAATAATTTTTTTTAATTTTTTTATTTTTTATTAGATAGGGGTATCCTCATGGTAATTCATACCAGTGAACAAAATCCAATCCAAATTGATTAAACTGACTTAACCATTTCAACTTTAGGTGAATTTTGGATTGGATTGGATTGGATGCGACTTTCAGAAATCAACTTTTAATTGATGTTAAATTGGATGAAAATATTACTGATGGTTTGGAGTGCCCCAAACTTGAGCTTCTGCAACTGAAAAATTCCTCAAGTAGTTCAGAATATTCCAACCACTTTAAAAGAATGAAAGAACTCAAGGTTTTATCTTTCTTAGAGGTGAATATGTCAAGCTATTTGGCCTCGGAAAAATCTCTACTGCTTGGAGAACCCAAGTACCTTCATACCTTGTGTCTAGAGGATTGCAATTTGGGAGACATATCCCATGTTATTGGAGGATTGGAGAATTTGGAGATCCTCAGCTTTGCCCGCTCTCAAATCAATAAGTTGCCTAGAGAAATAGGACATCTTCATCGGTTAAGGATGTTGGATGCAACAGATTGTGAAGGACTTGAAGAAATTCCTCATGGTGTCTTATCCAACTTGAGGAGATTAGAAGAGTTGTACATGGCAGAAAGCTTTCTCAATTGGGGGCCAGCAACAGAAACCAAGGATGAAACGGGTATGGCAAGCGTTGATGAGGTGATGTCTATGTTTGATCATTTAAATGTCGTAGCCATAAAAATCCCTGATGTTCAGATGTTGCGAAATGATGAGTTTATTTTAAAAAGCCAGCCCACAAGATTTCATGTATCTATCAATCTTTGTTGGTCATTCGAAGAAGAGAGTTTCAAGAATCGAATGCGCGGTTATCTGTTCGAAAATAGTTTGATGCTTCGTGGTGATGTAAAGGAATATTTGGAGATTGGAGCAGTTAGATACTTCTTGAAGCAATCTGAAGACTTAAGCCTACACCACACATACAATTTAAAGTATGTCGCCGAGG